CCTGAGTTCAATCCCCGGTTCCGCAAAAAAAAAAAAAAAAAAAAAAAAAACCAAACCAGATGATACCTTTAAAGGGCAATTAAAAAGGAAGATTGCTTCAGCTTTTAACCTTGTAATTGAAATCTTTAAAGACCAAACTGACTAATTATAAATAAAGATAATTTTATGCCCTGTGAGGGGTAAGTGATGGCTACTGACCAGAGGTAGGGTGAGACAGGTGATAAATTGTGTGAAAAGCCCCATGCATATATCAGGCCTAGAATCTGCAGTGTACCCCCGACTGACCAATCCAGAAAGGAGTCTGCCACAATGCCAGATTCAAAGCTAGAGCCTTAAGTATCATGGCGCACCCTGAGCTTCTCAGGATCAGTGCCAGCCTACTGGGTAAATGACTTCCAGCCACTCCTTAGAATCCTGGGGGCCTCAGGTGGCTTCACATCCACCTTCATCACATTGGCCCTATTCTAGTTTTCTAGATGGAACTTACATAGACCATAGTATTCAAAGAAAGTATTCCACTGTATAAAATTTAGGGGAAACATTTTTTTTCTGAGTGCTATCATATGGGGCAAGGTCTAAAAGGGCCCAGGCAGTCCTCCACCATCATTTGAGGAAAAAAGGTGTTAATTCAGGGTTCATGAGGAAAGCAGGCCTTAACATCAGGCCTCGAAGGTCCTCTTACAGCCCTTGGTTTGAAAGATTAGAACTGCAGACCATGACCTAGTTCTGTCACCTCCTTTGTGACCTGGTGCCTTTGGGAGCCTGAGTCTTCTCCTCTGAAGACAGGAAATTTCATAGCACATGCCCAGGGTGTGGTGCATGCTTAGTGTAAAGAGCCGCTTTTATCCTGAGTGGTACACTCTTTGGCCCTGTTGCACCCAGCTCAACACAGTTATCCTCATGAAGACATTTCTCCTGGCTGCGTAGCCCTTTATTGTTTATAAAGTTCTCTTCCAGAAAGCCATCCTCTGGGAGGAAAAAATGTTTTCAATTCTACCTCAGGAGAGACCTAGACTTTGAAACCTTTTTAGAGTTCCCAATGTGTCTCGTCCAGAGTAATCTAGGGTTTCTGAAGCAAAGCCATAATCCCAGCTCTCCCCCAAAAGCTCTTGTTTAGAATTGCTGACCATTAGAGCCAATAGTCCACTGTGGCTGACTCCTGAGATCCACAGGGACAAGTGTAAAAGAGACAGATGAGTGGATGCCACCCTTGGCCCTGGAGCTCAGGGCTGCTTCAGACCCTTCGGTGCCATCTGCCTCAAGACTAACTGTTGTAACTCAAAGCTTATAAGATGACATACAAAAGAGACAAGCACAAGAACTTCACTTGAGTTTAACACTCACCTATGTGTCCAGAGCCCAGTGGAGCCCAGGGACCCATGGTGGGGGAGTCAGGAAAAAAACTTTGTTGGGAAATTCTCTCATTGTTTAAATTCCAGATTAACATATTGTATAATTAAGTAGTTTTGATGTCCAGTTTATTTTTTAATTTTGTGAATTGTTTTACACATGATAGGTAAATTCAAGAGAACAATTCTCTCATCTAAAAAAGCCAGGTATGCGCTTCCCCACTCCAGGATCAGATAAACATTAATCTGTTCTATATCCTAAGGCTTGCTTTTCCTAGAATGTCTCAAAAATAAAATCTTACAGGATGTTTAAAAAAAATATATACACAGGGGGCCCTGGCCCTAGCTCAGTTCTTTAAGTGGCTGCTTCCCCAAAGCTGTCAGGCTCAGGTTGCTGTGGTTCGATCCCCACAACTCAAGACAACCAAACTTGCCCTGAAGGCATTCGGAGAAAAAAAAATATAGATAGATAGATAGATAGATAGATAGATAGATAGATAGATAGATAGACAGACAGACAACAGGAATCCTTGTTTTGGGTAAAAAATAAAAAATAACTTCTGGATACTGCAGATATCTTTTTTTGGTTTTTTTGATATTTTAGGGAAGAGTGTACAGGTGTTTAGGGTCTCACTACTAGATCAGACTCATAGTGATCCTCTTATTTACAGCCTCCCAAGAGCTGGGATTACAGGCACGCACCACCATGCCCAGTCTCAATTGCCATCTCAGTGCGCCATGGGGGTGGGATCAGCATGGCAGGCCTGGGGATTGAACCCCAACCCCCTGCGCCTGCTTTCAGGTGCTTTAATCTGCTAAGCTATACCATTAGATACCGTTATTAATCTCAGACACCATTATTAACACTGATTCACCCACTGTTATGGAAAATAGGACACAGACCCATCCCTTACCTATGAAACTGTCATTGAAAACTAAGTAATGTTTTATTTGCAATACATTTTCAGTTGCCCCTCTGCTAAATTCCCTTATGACAACTAATATAAATCCTGTATCCTCATTAATCATTTTTATTAAATTCATGCTCTGAAAATGTATGCTGTAACCTAATCTTCTGTGCTTAATAGGCTTTCAGTCATACGAATCAGAGAGAACACCTCCATATTTTGTTCCAAGAAATTCATTTGATATAATGGAGCAATTTTTAAATTCAGGCTGGCTGAGTTCAGGTTGGCCTTGAACTCACTATGTAGCCCAGGCTGGCCTCAAATTCATAGTGGTTCTCAAGCCTCAGCCTCCTGAGTGCTGGGGTTATAGGCATGTGCCGCCACACCTGGCTAGGAATTAATTCTTGGCATTTTCCTAAATTACAGAATTTATCAGGAACATAGAAAAATAAAATGCTATAAATGTTCACTAACTTGAAAGATATGCTAAAATACATTTAGAAAGCTTTTTTCTACATTTTCCTCTTGAAAGTAAAGTTTTATTTTCTTGATATTCTTTTTTTTTTTTTTTTGGCAGAACTGGGGATTGAACTCAGGCCCTTGCACTTGCCAGCAAGTGCTTATTCTACTGAGCTATCTCCCCGGCCCCAATTTTCTTAATATTTTTTAAGAAGAATTTTTCCATTTTCCATGCCTGTGGAAAAGGTCACTGATTAGGCATTAAGTTTTTGCCTTTTTCCTGAATTTACTGCTCACATTAGTATGATGAATATTATAATAGACTGTTAAAATACTGTTAAGATGACCATTTTTATTGAGGTATGATTTATATTTAGTTCATCCATTTAAAGTGTGGAACTCCAGAGGTTTTAGTCTATTCACAGGTATGTGCAGCTGGTCCCAGGGTTCTGGCTTCATTTTGTTTTGCATGCTTTGCAGTGCAGTGCTAGGAATAGAAACTGGGGCCTGTCAGGTGCTAGGCAAGTGCTCTGCTACAGCACCCCAAAGTGAATTTTACATTTTGCTTAAATATTTTATAACTATTTTAGCTAAAGAAAGTTCTAAAAGTGGAACCTAACATAAATGTCTTACTGTCTGCCTAGTCTAGAAACTCCTTTTTTTGACAAACTTGTGATCTTTCATAGCTGTTTGTCAAAGTGAGTTGAGTTCTGTCCGCTAACTGCTGGGAAGAAAAGTGGCTTTTGTGTTAACGTTTTGAATGCAAGGAAATCTGACCAACTGTTTAAGTGTAGGAACTGCCAAACTTGCAGAGCAGTGCCATGTTTTTTGTAGTGTCTTATTGTGTAATGTTTCAGAGTCTTGAGGCAGAGGCTTGTGATTATCAAAAGATAACTGTATTCCCAGCTCTCGCTTGAGGTAAACAGTCTCTGAGCCCTCAGTATATGATTTTACATGTTTCTTTTTTTATTGTTATATTAGATAGATAGATAGATAGATAGATAGATAGATAGATAGATAGATAACATTCATCATAGGGAACTTGTACCTCTTCATGATATTTCTTGATGCTTCTTTTATTCCTATTCCCTTCCCCTCCCCTCAGTCCTCCTCATTTACAAAAGCTTTGTTTCCATTTTTTTCTTCTATTTTTTTTTTCTTGCCCCTTCTCCCCCCACCCCACTTTGTTTCCCTTTCCATTTGAAAATTTTCTTCCCATTTTCCAGTATATATTTTACTTATTGGTCCTTATTTACACTCTTGATACACCAAAGAAGCAATGTGGTATTTATTTATGTAATAGTGGTTTTTTTTTTTTGGCAGAACCGGGGATTGAACTCAGACCCTTGCGCTTGCCAGGGAAGCACTTATTCCACTGAGCCATCTTCCCGGCCCCTATTTATTTATTTAGACAGGGTCTCTCTATGTAGTTTAGGCTAGTTTTGTGTTCTCTTTTGTAGCCTACAGGCTGGTCTTGAACTCACAGTGATCCTCCTGTCTCAGCATCCCCAGTGCTAGGATTACAGACCTGTGCTACCACACCTGGTTCTGGGATCCAGTTTAGCACCTTGTACTTGCCAGGCAGGGGTTTATGCTGCCGAGCTATCTCCCCAGCCCTCCACAGTGTGGTATTTCTCAAATACTAGTGTAAAATTTTTCTCCTATTGTTTCTTTTTGTGTTAACTTTTCTCCAGTAGAATTTTTTTTTTTTTTCGGAACCGGGGATTGAACTCAGGCCCTTGAACTTGCCAGGGAAGCGCTTATTCCACTGAGCCATCTCCCTGGCGCCCATCCAGTAGAATCTTGAGAATTAGAAATGAATGTTTCTTATGTGTCCTTCCACATTACATGGAGCACCCCATGCAGCTTATGTGTTAATTCTTTGATAAATTAACATGGAACTTCTTTCCTTTCTCCAAACTTTAGGCACCATAGACGAGTATTAGTGGAATGGCTGAAAGATCCATCTCAGGAGCTTGAATTTATTGCTGATATTCTTAATCAGGATGCAAAGAATTACCATGCCTGGCAGCACCGACAGTGGGTCATTCAGGTATTGGCCTTCTTGGTACATTATTTTTCTGATTTTTATTTTTAAACTTAATTAAATAATTAAAATTATTATTAAAGTATACTTCTGAACCAGAACATGTCTATAGATTATTACAGACAACATAATAAAGAATTAAGATACTTAATTAAAACCTGTATCTTTCATGTTGGTTTCTTTTATAAAATGTCT